AACCTATTGTCTTCAAAACCCAAAATATGTGTGTGTGTGTGTGTGTATGTGTGTTTGTTTGTGTGTGTGTGTGTGTATGTGTGTTTGTTTGTGTGTGTCTGTGTGTGTGTGTTTGTGTTTGTATGTGTGCATAATTACATTTCACTGATTGCTTTATGATTATTTGTTATATTTGATCACCTAATTGGTTTTAAATAAAATTTTGGATAAAACCAAACCCAATGAATGATTTTTCATTTTTTATTTCACCAACAAACACACGTACGTACAAACATACATACATACATAGACACATACACGCACACACACGTACATGCATACTGATAAATAATATACTAAATACATAAGTTGAATATTAAAATTCCATTAGAGAATGCATATGTATGTGTGTGTGTGTGTGTGTGTGTGTGTGTGGTGTGTGTGTGAGTGTACATGTATGTGTGTGCGCGTGTGTGTGTTTATACCTATCACTAAAATGGCGTGTATGTAGAAAGCATAAACGAACGATAAAGAACGCCTTAAAATACATCGACACTCCAAATAAATAGATAATTAATTATTAATAATAATTACCATTAATTAATTGAATTTTAAACAACTGATTAATTACTTAATTAATTTAATTAATACTAATTAATTAACTTAAAAGCTGGTGTTAAGTAATTAAAGGAAACATTATACAAACAGACAACAATAACAACACTATATTATATATATATATATTATATATATATATATATATAATAAAAATGAATGAATAAAATGATAGAAAGATGGTTGTAACAAAAGAAGCACAGGCGTATTTGTTTATTGAATATATAATAATGATGTATATGGAAACATTAAATAGCAGAGTTTATAACACGTAAATATAGACAGACGTGCACTGTTTTCATCTCTCTCTCTCTCTCTCTCTCTCTCTCTCTCTCTCTCTCTCTCTCTCTCCATTTATTATACGTTTTCTTTTCTTCATTTCTTCTTTTCTCCCATCTCTCTATCCTTCCATTTTTTCAAATTGTCCTTGGGCACAGAACTGTGTGTGGTGTTTGTTAAAACAATTATTCTTATTTATTTTTGCTCTGTTGTTGTTGTTGTTACTCCATCAACTGACAATTACTTACAACTTTTTGTAGTAGTAGCAGTGGCTTCAGCAGCAATAGTAGTACGAAGTAGTAGTAGAAGTAGTAGTAGTAGTAATAATAGTATTAGTAGTAGTAGTAGTAGCAGTAGTAGTAATAATATTAGTAGTAGTAGTTGTAGTAGCAGTAGTAGCAGTAGTAGTAGCAGTAGTAGTAGCAGTAGTAGTATTAGTAGTAGTAGTAGTAGTAGCAGTAGTAGTAATAATAATAATATTAGTAGTAGTAGTAGCAGTAGTAGTAGTAGTAGCAGTAGTAGTAGTAGTTGTAGTAGTAAAGTAGTATAATAATTATAATTATAATAATAATTATTATAATAATTATGACATAATTACCTTTCAATATATATTCGGTCAGTAGCCCAAGGGAGACCGGACTATTCTCTAGCATAGCCGTCAAGACTGCAAAAATAATAATAATAATATTATTATTATTATTATTATCTATAATAATAATATTATAATAATTATAATAATAATATTATAATAATTATAATAATATTATTATTAACTATAATTATGAAGAGTTCCTTATATTCATAAGCTTAGTAAGCGAAGAATATGAGTGCCGCTGATATGAAAAAATTTAAGCATTGCTCTTGATGTATCATTAAATGCACAGTACCATTGCTACTTCTACTACTACTACTACTATTACTTCTACTACTACTACTACTATTACTACTAATACTACCACCACTACTACTACTACGTGCAATAATAATAATAAGAAGAGCAAAAAAAAGAAGAACAAGAACAAGGACAAGAACAAGAAGAACAAGAACAAGAAGAACAAGAACAAGAAGAACAAGAACAAGAACAAGAAGAACAAGAACAAGAAGAACAAGAAGAACAAGAACAAGAAGAACAAGAACAAGAAGAACAAGAACAAGAACAAGAATATAAAGATAAAGAAAAAGAAAAAGAAGTAGAAGAAGAAGGTGAGGCTTTACTTTTATTATAAATCATAAGTGTCTCCAGTGACAGCGGTCTGGCGTTTTCTTCGTATGGAATTGTAGTGGAAATGTACTGCATTAAAAATATTATTATTATTTATTATTATTATATTAAATATTATAACCATAATTATTATAAATAATATTACCAATAGTTGTTGTAGTGGTAGTAGTAGCAGTAGTAGTAGTCGCACCAGCAGTAGTAGTAGTAGTAGTAGTAGTAGTAGTGGTAGTAGTAGTAGTAAAGTAGTAGTAGTAGTATAGTAGTAGTAGTAGCAGCAGCAGCAGCAGTAGTAGTAGTAGTAGTAGTAGTAGTAGTAGTAGTAGTAGTAGTAGCAGAAACAGCATTAATCATTGTTGTTTTTATTAATACTACTCACTGATCTTTTGTTAGTAATCCTGTCTGAAAGGTCTTTGAGTTTAGCAATGGCCACTTGGTAAGGTTTATTATTGTTGTTGCTGTTGTTGCTGCTGCTGCTGTTGTTGTTAGAAGTTGTTAGCGTGTTGAGACGCTTGTTGTGGTCAGTGTCTTTCTTCTGCTGAACGGTTGTCAACAGCCAGATGAATCTGGTAAGTTTATGAGGAGACAGTCTAATTAATTGCGCTACATTTTATTTAAACGACGACGATGATGGGCCGAACATAAAACCATAAGGATGACGTCACGCCGAACATCAACTGTGACGTCATTCGTATCTGATCGACAACAGCAATAGCAACGGCAGTATCTTAATATTTTAGCTTCTTTTATTTGGTAGACTAACTCCTTTCTCTCTCTCTCTCCTCTCTCTGTCTCTCTCTCTGTTTTTTAATCTCTCTTTCTCTCTCTCTCTTTTTTTCTTTCTCTCTCTCTCTCTTTTTCTTTCTCTCTCTCTCTCTTTTTCTTTCTCTCTCTCTCTCTATCTTTCTCTCTCTTAGCCAACCAACTCTTCCAATAAAACTCCTAACAAACTGCAAACAAACAACAAAGCTGCAGCCACAGCAGCAACGACTACAACAGAAACCTATTTTTAGTTTCTTTCTCGTAGACCAGTTCATCCCTCTTGGCCAGCTCTCCAACTAAAACCTTCGACAACAGCTGGACGTTTTCCTCCAAGTTCCCCACCATCCCAAACAACGACGGGCTACTCATGGTTCTGACGTCTGGGTAGACTTGAGTGGGGGTTGTGGTGATGATGATGGTGATGATGATGATGGAGATGGTGGTGATGGTGGTGAAGATGGTGATGATGATGGTGATGATGGTGATGATGATGGTGATGATGATGATGGTGGTGGTGATAGTGATGATGATGATTATTATGGGGATGGTGATGATGATGATGATGGAGATGGTGATGATGATGATAATGGTGGTGATGATGGTGATAATGATGATGATAGTAATAATGATGGAGATGGTAAT